CAAATATATGTATGAACCGGATTGAATGTTGAATCTCATTTTTGTAAAGAGAGATTTGGAGAAGTCAATCCAAACCCCTTCCCAAAATTCATCGAAACAAATCATTTGTGTGTAGATTATATTTTAGGAAGAATTACATCTAGACCCCCTGAAATTTGTCACTTAATCACTCAGACCCCTGACATTTAAAATATTACACACAACCCTCTAAGATTTGTACATGCATAACACTTAGACGACTAATATAAATATATCATTTAATAAATTACATTTAAACCCCTCTAAAGTTTATAGATATATAATACTTAGATCCCTTAAGTTTAAAATATTATAATTAGACAAAAAACACTCCAACTAAAGATAAAATATCAAATATTTTAAATTTTACAACCAAAATTCATGTTCTATTGTATCATTTATTGAAATAAAATCAAAAATAAAATTTTAATTTTTTCTTAAAAAATCGTAATTAGTATACAATTATATTGTCTATTGAAATTTAATTTGATTGTTTAAACGATCAAATTAAAATATTAAACTACCTCAATTAAAGCTAAAAGATATTGTGTCTATTACAGTTTGACCTCTTATTTAATTTTTTAATTTTATTCTAATAAATAGTATAATTATATACTAACTATGATTTGTTTTAAAAAAAAAAATTAGACTTTTATTTTTAATTTTGTTTCAATAAATAACATACTAGAACATGAATTTTGGATGTAAAGTTCATGTTCTATTATAAATGACTTAGACCCCTAATTTGATTTTTTTTAGTTTTATTCTAATAGATAGTACAATTATATATTAATTATAATTTTTTAAGAAAAAAATAATTTTTATTTTTAATTATATTTCAATAAATGATACAATAGAACATAAATTTTGATTGTAAAATTTAAAATATTTTATATTTTATATTTAATTGAAGTATTTTTGTCTAAATATAATATTTTAAACTTAAGAAGTCTAAATATTATATGATTACAAACTTTAAAAGGTCTAAGTATAATATAATAACGGATATATTTACATCAGAGTTTTAAGTGTTATACACGTATAAATTTCAGGAGGTCTGTATATAATATTTTCAATGTGATTAAGTGACAAACTTCAAGAGTTCTAAATATAATTCACCCTATATTTTATCACGGGTATGGAGTTTATAAAAATACTTAACTTTGCATTTGTTGCACCCTGGGCATGAAGATATAAAATAGCGAGATATCCCGAGTTTCATCAACATCAAATGATAATACAGGTACGCTTTGTCCTCTTACCTTTCGATATATTGATTTCGGGAGACAGGTCACTGTTCTCGTCACTTTGGGGGCGCCGGAGTTATGAGCTCCAGGTGACTTCAGAATATGCGATCCACAAGGGAATAATGGAAAGCTTTTACTGCTTGATGATAAATAAGCAATATTCTGGAGTGGATTTATCTTAGTTGGCATAGGCTTTGAACAAAGACCGAGCTTCTTGCGTAGAGAGAACAAAGTAATCAAACCGAGCTTGATAGATCGAACAAATACCAAGATTCAGGGGCTAAAGAGACTTCGAAGCTGTTTGGTACGTGGGTTTGAGGGGTTTTAGAACATGAGTCGGGAATTAAACCCCTTTAAACTTATGTTTGGTAACTATAGATTTAACTTAGAGTTTGAAATTCGATCAAGTCATGCCCCATTATGAAAACCTTGTTCATAGGTTTCATGAAATCCATGGGGAGATTTTATATGTGGGTTTGAGAGTTTCACATTCAAATGACATTTATATTCCTCATATATTCATACTCATATTTAGATTAAATTAGTTAAGGCACATAATAGTCATTTAAATATAAATATATTATTATAATAGTCATATATCTCTGCGCATACCAAACATGTGTATGAACAGTATTGAATATTGAATTCCTTCTTTAAATTTTATCGTTGGTCAAACCAGGGTTTGGACAAACTAATCCAAACCTCTCTTAAAAAATATACCAAACAGAAGCTTTAGATTTTGCCTTTGCAGCACAATCAATAGTATATATTTTAAAAAAAAAACCTGAAAAGAATTCTAAAGGGACAAGACATTGATATGCACTAAAAGACAAATTGGCACCAATAAAAACAATTGAGTTCCATGAACAAGGGTTCTAGACAGTAGCTTCGCGTGAAAGCTTTCATGGTGGGATCTTGCAACATTATTGTGATGTTTTTATGTTTCCATGAGTTTGGAAGAAAGAATGAGACGAAGTAAGGATTCAACTCAATATCCTTGATAAATCTGAGACACCCATGAACTAGTAGATGAGAAGGGACAGAAAACTGAATCTCACAAATTAGTCATATGAAGATTTTGGAGACACACATGGACGGCGTCAAATTATCCAGAATAATTTCTCGTAAGTACTAAAATATTGAAAGTGTGCCCCTGGTTTTCAAACATCATCCAGTTTGCACGTTGTAAAATCAAAGAGAGGTTAAAAGAATCCTCAACGTTGAGCTGGGAGAGACCCCTCTGATACCTAAATCAGTATTACGATTAATATATGAATAGATTGATATATAAATTGAAATTATATAAGTATGTATGAAATATGGAATCGAGATGCTCATACTTAGCCTCCTCAACTTTAGGTGTTCACCGATATTTATTGAGAAAAAGTTGAAAGCTATTTATAAATTTACATTGCTTCTAACATGACTAATGGTATAGCTTTTGACTAATAGCTGCCTTTTTAGTTTTAGGCCATGTTCCTAGAGTCTTGTGCCATCAATTCCAGCCAATTTTTATTAGATGATGTGAGATATCACAAAATGTCTCGTTGCATATTATATGATTTATTCATATAATAAAAAGAAAAAGAGGAGTTTGGTGTCTATATATAAAATACCTATAATATTCCTATTTTTTTTCATAACTTAATCAGCCGTAGTTCCTTAATCATCTATGACTCAATGTTAATTGCACTCAACTACTTATATAATTCTTCTTTATAAGCTTCTTCTCACTCTCTCATCCTCGTTTTTTTATTGTATTCCTTTATAACGAGGGAACAATTTTATGTAGACTTAAAATAATAACTTGATATATTGACTTGATCACTCATTTTTATTGATTAACTGTAGCTCCAAGTATTAATTAGAACTAAGCATATCAAAATTCAACATGACATAATTAATCGATCGACATTGAGTTAATTGGATTTGGGTAAGGCCTTATCAGGTACGGGATTTAAATGGGTGAATCCGTCAGACCCCTTTAATAAGTTAGTTGTGTTCGGGTCAGACATGTCAATTCATTTATCATTCGTTTAAATAAAATTAATATAATAATAAATTAATAATTATTAAAAAAATTATTCAGAATAATATACGCAATTATTAATTAGATCAATTTTGAAAAAAGTTTAATAATAAATTTTTTTAGTAAATTATAACATTTTTAATGATAGATTGGTCAAACGAGGTGGTCGGTTAAGAGGGTTATCATGTTAACTCGACCTTACCTAACTCAATTCTTTTAATAAACGGGCTAAACAAATCGTGTCGTATAATTTATTTAATAAACAAATTATGTTCAGTATGAAGATTTTCACCTATTTAATAAAATGAGTCGTGTATCGGTTTACTAATTTTTCATATGAACCCAATTCGTAACCGTTTAATTTAACACAACTGACACCCTTAATTTGGATTCAATATATATTCAATTATTGTGATTAATCAAATCAATAATTTAAGTACATGTAACATTTTTCAACAATGTAAGGTATCAAGAATAATTCTTTACAAGCACCTAATCACAAAGCCCACGGGGCCACAAGATCCACTCCCATCCCTCACTTATTCAACTCCATACCCTTCCCCTGCGCCAAATAGCAAAGAAAAGCATGCTAAAAAGAAAAGTAAAAACAGGGTAGAAAACATTAAAAAAAAAGGTGAATAATATTTTACACTCTAAACAATCTTTAAAATATTAATATAAACCTTAAAAACTTAAAAATTTAAATATCCTACCCCTAATTAGATGAAAAATGACAATACAGTTCGTTATTTAAAATTAAATAGTATGAAAATAATTATATATAAAAATAAGAAAATATAACAAAAATTATTATCAACTACAAATTTATTGATTTACAAATCTACCGTAGGCCCTATGGGAAATTTAAATAGCAAAATTGAATTCTTGAATTTCTAAGATCGGAGGGCCTAGAATCAAAAGAGAGGGCGCTAACAATCAAACCGAAGTTAGCGGAAAAAGATAAGTTAAGCATCCAAGCCAACATCAACTGAACTAATATATTTCGCAACATATCTAATATATCCTAAAACAACATTTCTTGAAGTAGCATTCTCATAAGTCGATGATGAAACCCTTGCTTATTTTATAAATCACTCAAGTGGGGCTTTCTAGTTGCATCTCAATCGGCATCCCTATCCATATATTTGTGCGTAGGGTGCATCAAAATTTGAATCTGTAAAATCAATTAAAGAATTTCCATTTGCACCCGAATTGGTTAAATCAAGATAATAGAAAAGGGGAAGGAAAAAAGGTAAAAATAAAACTTAAAGGAAAAATTAAAAATAGAAAGCTAAAAACGTTATCATTTTTGAACTAAATTATGATTTTTTTATCAGGGTACAATATATAAATTTTATATTTTAAAATGTAGATTAAGAATTTAAAATTTTTTAGGGTATGAAGTGTTATTCACTCAAAAAGAAAAAAAAAGGAAAAGTAAAGAAGACAATAGAAAGGAAAAGGAGAAGAGCAAAAGGTGGAGAGAGATAGAGAGATAGAGAGAGAGAGAGAGAGAGAGGAGACAAAGAAATCAATAGTCGGCGCCCAGTTCTTCGCCGACCAATAATCAAGTCCTTTTCACTGCCACAATTTCCCCCAACTCTTATCCTCTCTTTTTCTAGCACTCTCCCTTTCGAAAATTATATATATATAACCCCAATCTTTACCCACTTCTTCTGTTCCTCTGATTCTTTTGTTCTTTCTCTGCCTTCTTCCTAACTTCGGTTTCTTCCGTCAATTTTTTTGGCGATCGGAAGATGCCCAGTTTCTATCTTAGCTTAATTAGCTTAATTTAGGGTTTATCTTCTTTGATCTTTTTTTGGTTTCTTTTAATTTTGTGGTAGAGGTAGTTTAATTCAGTGGGGGGAATATGAAAGGTGTGGTTGTTGAGCAGACCCATGTCGAAGATGTTGTTGCTGTTGATAATACGAAGGATAAAAAGAAGAAGCGCCGATCCCATCGACGATCCAAGCAAAATTCTTCCTCTGTTTCAGGTACATAATTCCCATATTAGTGTGTTAATCAATTAATATTTTGATTTCTTGGTTGATTTTTTTATTTGGGCAAATTTCTTGGTTGATATTTTTTTGGGCGAAGTTCTTGGTTGATTTTGATTACTGGATTTTGGGTAAACTGTGTTGGTCATATTCAACAGATTCGGTAAAAGTGGGCTTCAAATTGTGTGTGCACATGTAATTTTATTAGTGTGAATTGTTAGTGGGCTTCAAATTGTGTGTGCACATGTAATTTTATTAGTGTGAATTGTTCTATTTTGGGTACTTTTTATAACTGAATTTCGAATATAAGGGGTACATTTTCAAATGAATATTCACTAATCTTGATTTTGATCACTGGGTACAGTCCTTTTGGAGACACTCTTTGTTATTTCCTGTTAGTGCACAAAATTACACACGCTTTTATTGAAGTTTTGAGATTTTGTGATTTACTTTAGGCCATCATATTTCTGAATTCTGAAGAACATAAGGTCCTGTATATTTTGTGAGAAACTGTAGGAGTAGAAAAAGTTAAGCTAGTATAAAAGTCTGTATTTTGAGATGAGTTTCTTCTGCAAACTAAAATCAATACAAGAAGTATGATTAAAGTTCCTTTCTATTTGATTCCCTAAGTTTAATTAGTTTTTGGGTTTTTTGCTTTCTTGGCAAATCTATAAAGGGTAGACTTGTAGAGTCCTCCTAAATGTAAACAATATTGTTTGAAATGTTCATTATACATTTTTTGACTTTTCAAATTTAGGTCCTTTTGTTCGGAGTTCATATCGTTGTAACTTAGTTACATTTAGTTGATGTTCTGGCAAATTTATCTCTCTCTACGGCCTATTGCCTGAACTGGATCCGCCCTCCCCCATCCCCATGTGCATGTGTTTGTGTTGGGAATGCATGCTGCATTTGGACACTATCTTAATGCTGTTGGACTTCATGGTTGCCAATTGTGTTTCTTGGAGCAGCTTTTAGTTCAGTGAATGAACCAAGTGTGGAAGCATCACAATTCCTGGGAACTGGTAGCACATCCAATTGCATAATACAGAATCAGCAGCGACTGCCCAGAGCCTCCAATGTTGCTTTTAATTCTCTCCCAACGATGCATATAGATGAACAAGCACCACTACAGGAAAGTGGAAGTATGCAAAAACAGCAAATGTTTCCATCTGATGGTGGTGGAAGGATGTCATCAAAATCATGTCCTGAGCCCATAGCATTTGAAGATTCAATGGGGTCATATGTAGATAAGGACTTGCTTTGCTCCCATCTGATTGAGTGTGATACTCAGAAAAAATACTTTGCTCCACATTGGTCCATGGAAGCTGTTACTAGGGCATTAGAGGTTAGATTAGTAATGGTTTCTGCTGCTGATTAATTTAGTGAATTACTGTTTTTCTGTCTGTCCAAGGTTATGGAAAAAAGCCTGTTAACATTTTTTTTTTTTTTTCAAGAGAGGTGATGTCTTTAAGGCATTGTTTCGTGTGAATGCTCATAACAGACTTGAGGTATGCTATAAGATTTTCCCCCATGTTTTATTCCATTTTTCCATCAAGTGTACTATTAGGTTTTGATCCTTGATGAATGACTTTGTGCTGTATGATGTGCATTCCCTATTTTGTGTTGGTAGGCCTACTGCAAAATTGATGGAGTGCAAACAGATGTCCTGATTAGTGGAGTTGCTGCTCAAAACAGAGCTGTAAGTAAGGGGTTCTCTTTCCTTGATTACTTGTTCTTGATTGAAGTGCTGTTGATTTGATTTGCGTTCATATGTTTTCTTACATAACATTTCGTGCATAGAAAGCAATGCGATCCAATTCAATCCTTTTCAATAGGTTTTTCCTTAATTACTATATACACATGCATTAATATTGATGTTGTGAGTTTGTTGAACCTGTATTAGGAAACTTATTGTATGCCATCTTATTAACGTANATCATTCATTGTTTTTTGTGACTCGTATAAAGCCTACACTTTGGCATTTAACTCGGTGTTGGAGACCATCTTCATGCAATAAGTAACTTGAAAAAATAGTAGAAAATTTTGGGGCCAAATTGTAATTTTAGAAACTTTTGGGTTAGAAATTGTAATTTCAAAAATTTCAAGGGTTAAATCTATAATTTCAAAAACTCTGGGGGGGTCAGATATGCAATTTTGAAAATGTTTGGGGGTGCTTGTGTAATGTCAGAGGTGATGGGGTGGATCTAAAATTTCAAGAAAATTTGGTCTAAATATTTATATAGCCAGGTTTATCGTCTTTCTTTTTTTTTTTTTTTTTTTTTTTTTTTTTTTTTTTTTTCTTTCACTATGGACCAACTCTTCAGTCTTCTAAGCTTTGTGGTTTCGTCTTTTTGTGAACCAGAATACTTTATATTAGAAATTTGTTTTTGGTTTTCCTTTTGGGAATTGAGAAGCTCAACTCATAAGTACAAGAGAACATTATTTCAATCAATCTAATTTTCATGTTAAAGTCGAGCTAAATATTTATTTATTTACCCTCTTTTTCTGTTTTGTTGATATTAGACTTGCATTTTGCATTGTAGAGTTGTAACACTTCTTGGATTTGTTTTATTTTTTTGTAAGTCAGTACTATAATCGGTGATGGTCTATGATGTTTTTTTTTAAAATATTTGATGGAGGCTTCTAATCGTCCTTTTTTTCCCCAAATAACATTGAAACGGATTGTAGTTTCCGTCCATATTGAGCTTCTTGCTGTTGCTTGCATGTGATCTGCTGTAAATGAATGTTTGTGCACTCATACACGCATACCTACACACATACATACACAAATATGTATGTATATAATTATATACACATTCATATTTATATGTATATATCTTCACTGAGGATATTATGGTTGAGTGTATGGTCGAATGATTTCTTTCTTGTAGATTGAAGGAGACATTGTTGTAATAGAAGTTGATCCTCCATCAATGTGGCCCAAGATGAAAGGGTTGAATGGGGCATCTCACAATCCTGCTCTAGCTAATGATAGTAATTTGCTCCTTGAAGCCCCTGAATATGTTGCTGATGGTTGTAAAGGAAAGAGTCAAGTAGATGTGGATTTCAACTATGTTTGTAGTAGAAATTGCTTTCATCTTCCAAATGAGGGTTTTCATTATGGGAATGGCACTTATTGTGGAGAAAATGTTTGTACACAACCAATTAGATCAACAAGTAATTGCTATATAAATGGACATGACCCCTCTGCATCAGATCCATCATGGGCAGGTTGTTCTAGTGAGCAGAGTGAAGTTTTAAATGCAGTAGAGAAGTTATCTGCCTTAATAAGTTCAGTCCCATCAAACCGACCTACTGGCGTAGTTGTGGCTATCCTTGAAAGTTCTCATCGCCGGAACACTGTTGTTGGTTTTCTTGATGTGAAGCATTGGGCTTCAAGTCGAGAAAGTTACAGAAAAGAATCCAAGAAGAACAAAAATTTGTTGCCACTTGGCAGTCGAGAGTATATCCTGTTAACTCCAACTGACCCGAAATTTCCCAAAATGATGGTACCTCAGCGAAGCCTGCCGGACTGTATTAAGAAAAGAATGGAAGATGGTGATGCCACAGTTGAGATGCTACTCGTAGCTGCACAAATTGTGGATTGGCTGGAAGAAAAGAATCTTCCAGAAGCTCATGTCATGTATGTTTTTGGAAGGGGTGGAGAAATAGAACCACAGATTGCTGCAATTTTATTTGAATATGCAATCAGTCACACTGAATTTCCCCCTGAATCACTTACCTGCCTGCCGCCGGTTCCTTGGGAGATACCGCTGGAGGAGATTCATGGTAGAAGGGACTTAAGAAAATTATGTGTATTTACTATCGACCCTGTGACTGCCAAAGATCTTGATGATGCACTATCAGTTGAATTATTGTCCATTGGCGTCTTCAGAGTTGGTGTTCACATTGCTGATGCATCATATTTTGTTCGACCAGACACAGCCTTAGACACAGAAGCTCAAATTCGATCTACAAGTGTATACTTGTTGCAGCATAAATTACCAATGTTGCCCTCATTGCTTTCAGAGAATTTAGGTTCACTTAATCCTGGAGTGGACAGACTTGCTTTTTCTATTTTCTGGGACATTAATCTTGCTGGAGAGGTTTTAGATCGCTGGATTGGTCGGACAATCATACATTCTTGTTGCAAGCTCTCATATGAGCATGCTCAGGACATTATTGATGGACTCATTGATGTAGAAAGTTTTAATAGCTTGGAAAATAGTTTCCCCCAATTACATGGCCATTTTGAATGGGCTGATGTAGTTAGATCTGTTAGGAGACTTCATGAGATCTCCAAAACCTTAAAGAAGAACAGGTTTGATCATGGAGCTCTGTCACTAGAAAGTCCCAAAGTGGTTTTCTTATTTGATGATGGTGGAATTCCCTATGATAGTATGCTCAGTGGGCGGAAGGATTCAAACTTTCTGGTTGAGGAATTCATGCTTTTGGCTAATCGGACAGCCGCAGAAGTAATAACTAGGGCTTATCCTTCTAGTGCTTTATTGCGGAGGCACCCTGAACCTAACTTGCGGAAGCTTAGGGAGTTTGAAGCTTTTTGTGGCAAACATGGTTTAGAGTTGAACACTTCTACGTCTGGTCAGCTTCATCTTTCCCTGGAGCGCATTAGGCGAGAACTCAAAAATGATTCTGTTTTGTTTGATATTCTTGTGTCATATGCTACAAGGCCAATGCAGTTGGCTGCATATTTCTGTAGCGGAGATCTCGAAAATGCTGAAAATGATTGGGGTCATTATGGTCTGGCCATTCCCATCTACACCCACTTTACTTCTCCACTGCGCCAGTATCCTGATATTGTGGTACATAGGACATTGGCAGCAGCTGTAGAAGCTGAAGAGATGTTTCTGAATCACAAAAAAGGAATGCCGAATTTGAGTAGTGATGAGATGATGAGAAGATGCATCACTGGTATATGTTTTGACAGAGATGCTGCAGAATTGCCCGNACATTGGCAGCAGCTGTAGAAGCTGAAGAGATGTTTCTGAATCACAAAAAAGGAATACCGAATTTGAGTAGTGATGAGATGATGAGAAGATGCATCACTGGTATATGTTTTGACAGAGATGCTGCAGAATTGCCTGTAGTTCAGGAAGCACTATCTTCTGCAGCATCAAAGAACGGAGTTCCATGCACAGAAATAATTTCAGATGTTGCTGCTCATTGCAATGAAAGAAAGCTGGCCAGCAGGCATGCCAAGGATGCTGCTGAGAAACTCTACATGTGGGTTTTGCTGAAGAAAAAGGAGGTATGTTTGGTTGCTTTCAACATGCTATCAAGATTTTAGTCATCATTACCTTATGTTGTTCGTCTATGCCCATTCCCAATTTTGTTTCAAGACATAGTAGCTAGTGACTGTGTGTGGGTTCTCTTAGTATAAGATTTTTCCTATGCTACTTGCTGCATCTGCTTGGCTATTTTCCCCCTGGTCTGTTTTGGATTTCAGTATTGTTATTTAGACCACCCTTCATATGGCATTCGATTCGTAATGTTGGCTTGCTTTCATACCATACTAGTGCTTCCTTCTCTTTTCTCTTCTTTGATTCAAGTTCCATTGTAGTTTTTTTGTTAGTCAATAAGTTCTTAAGTACTTCGAAGTGAATATAACTTAGTTTGACCCATAGTCGTTGGTATCGTTGATACCCCAAAAGTCCAATGAATAGAGTTCTCATGATCTGAAACGGGTTAGTTCGCGATGTAGATCCCTGAAATTCCTGATCTTAAATTATTAATCAAACCTAAAATTGACCCACGATTCAAGTAATCCCATATTATAAACTAATTTCACATTGTAACCACTTCTCGCCCCCCTTTTTTTAAAAATTTTAGTGGCTGATGATTTAGTAGATTAGTGAGAAGAGCAGAAAGATTTGATCTTGTGGAGGGTTTTATTATTGGAAGTGGTGGAATTCCTGTGACACCTTTGCAATTTGCTGATTATACTATCTTTTTTTTTCTGGACGAAATGAGAAAAAATTTATTAACTTGAAAAAGATAGTAGATGTATTTGAGATGGTGTCAGGGTTAAGGATCAATATGGAGAAATTTTGATTGTGGGTATAAATTTCTTTTATGATAAAATTTCTAGATTGACCATGATTTTGGTATGCGGTGTGGGAGAAATGGAGAATGATCTTTGAAGTATTTAGGTCTTCCTTTGAGTGGAATCATTTATCTTTAACATTTTGGAATCCTGTTGTGGAAAAAGTGGGGAAATAGTTTGATGGGTGGAAGAGATCTTGCTAGAGGGGGTAGATTAACTTTTATACAATAAATTTTGGCTCGCATACCTTCTTATTTTCTATATCTTTAAGATGCCAAGGAAGATTGTAATAAAACTTGGGAAGATGACGAGAGATTTTTGTGGAAAGGAAGTGGTGAAAAGAAGAATGATTATTTGGTGAATTGGGAGGTGGTGTCAACAACAAAAGCAAAGGGGGCCTTTCGGTGGGAAATTTTAAGGCAAAGACTGTAGCTTTAGTTGGTAAATGACTTTGGATATTCCCAATGGAACAAAATCCACTATGTTATTTGGTCATTAAGAGCAAGAATGGTATACATGCCAATGGATGGGATACTACTAGGGTAGACGAGAGAATTTATTGTTGCCCATGAAGTTTACTCCTCAATTGCTTTCATAGTTTTCTCAAAATGTTACATTCATTGTGGGTAATGGAGAGAGAGTCTAGTTTTGGGAGGATGTTTGGATTGGGTCATCATCTTTTTCAATCTTACGTCTTTATCATTTATCTCGTTTCATGGGTCTTCTATTGCATTAATGTGTCATTATTTCCATCTATCAGTTTCTTGGAATCTTGGGTTCTGTAGGCATCTTGATGATAGGGATACTACGGAGTAAGAGTCACTTCTTTCCTTTATTAATGACTTCAATGTCTGTTTTGAATTAAGTGATAGAAGAAAGGGGATTCTTGAGTCTTTGTGGTTTTCTCATGTAAATCTTTTTTTGATAAATCGATTGATGGTCCCTTATATCTTGTATTTCCTCCCTCAGTGTTGATTTTGGAAGGATAAAGTGTCCATTAAAGTGCAAGTTTGTGTATGGTTTATTGCTTTGGGTAGGATTAATATAATGAAAAAGATCATTTCTTTGCATTGTTCCACATTGGTGTGTGATGTGTGCATGTGCTTGTGAGTATGGATCACCTTTTTTTTTTTGTGCATTGTCCTATTGTTTTATTTTTGTGGTCCAAGCTATTTCAATTATCAGGTCTGAGTTGTGATTCTCGAGACTTTTTATTCCATGCTAGTGGAGGAATTCGAGGCTTGAATTGGGTGACCCTTTGGAATTGTGCAATTTTTGCCATAATATAGGTAAATTGGTCGAAGAGAAATTCTAGAATACTTGAGGATAGACGTGCGTGGAAGGAAGGAAGGTCTTATGGGATGGGATCTATTTTGTGGCATCATAGTGGGCTTCCGTTTCTAAGAATTTTGATGGTGCATGTGTCACTTGGATTTTATGATCTTTATTTTGTTTTTTTTTTTCTCCATTTCATGGTTGGACATATTGTTCCTCCTATTTAACCCTTGGATGTATTGCTTTTTGAAATTAATAAAATAGTATTGTTTCCTATTGAAAAAAAAAATTTGTTATTTTTCTTGTTTGGGTTATCTTTAAACTTATATTTTTGTTTTGGATTGTATTTTTTTCAGTGAGAAACATAATCAACCATTGGCTTTTAGAATTTGCAATCATTAGCCAGTACAATGTATTGGATTGTGGTTTGAATTAGAATTCTTATTAGAAATATAATATAATATATTAGTAAGGATTAAAATTTTGTTTCGGTATATTGTTTCAGTCACTTAGAAAATGAAAATGTTTTGACTTGTTTCGGAAACAGAATGAAAAAAATAAATAATTTAAGAATTATTTTTTCAAAATATTGGTTGAAATATACCAAAGTATCTTAAAATACTTTGAAAAATTCTGAAATAATTGTCAAAATGCATTGAAACATTACAAAACCTCGAAACATTATGAAACACCTTGAAGTATTAGAATTTTGATTCCATTACTGATTTGTTTCGGTCTCCTTGGAAACGGAAACGTTTCGGATGTTTTGACTGTTTCAAAACGAAATTTTGATCATTGTATGTTAGTTAACTATGTGTATTTATTTAGATTTTTATTATACTTGCTTTCATATTTTCCATTTCGGATATTTTGACTTTTTCAAAACGAAAATTTGATCCTTGTATATTAGTTAACTTTGTGTATTTATTTAGATATATATTATATTTGCTTTCATATAATAGTGAAAGCAATCTGGGTTATAGATTCAAAGTAAACCATGGTCCAAAACAATGTTCCCGCCAAGTCTACCACAATTGCATCACATATCGAAAAAAGTATCATGTTGTGTACCCGTACAACCATACCCATATTGTGTATAATTGAGCCCCGATCTAGGTAACATTGGTTTGATATGCTTATTGGTTATGGTTTATTGGAAGTCCTTGCATTAACGTTCCTCCCTTTTGCAGCAATGTGTGTTAGGATTGCCTGCATTCTCACCTCTTTCCCAACCTTGGTGCGCACTGCGCAGGCCCTAAACAAATACCCTCTCTTTGTTTCCAAGGAAAACCTTTGTTTCCTAATTCTCTATCCTACAGCTTTTCAATCTCTTGTATACCCAATGGGAAACAAATGAAATGTGTGGATTCGANTAAACAAATACCCTCTCTTTGTTTCCAAGGAAAACCTTTGTTTCCTAATTCTCTATACTACAGCTTTTCAATCTCTTGTATACCCAATGGGAAACAAATGAAATGTGTGGATTCAAAGATTTCACTTTTTAGAGTTTGATTATCAGATGTATTATTGTCAGTTGATTTTCTCGAATGTCCTTACTTTTGTTATCGTTCGTTGGGTTGTTCTCAAGGACTGAAACGGAAGAAGAAAGGACATACATAAAGAAAGTATAATGTATGAATTGGAAAATATGGAAGAAAATTGTTCCACAACATATTCTTGTGATCTTGTTTTCTTTCTAATAAAAAGATGGACGAGAAATTTATCTAAAGCCCTATTAGAATAATGCTACAACAGCAGGCTGAAAGACTTGCATCACTATTGATGTAGGACAACTGTGTAAAATCAAAATAGGGGCTATTTACGGTTATGTGAATAGTGAAATAGGCTGTGAACAGTAAAATAGGCTAGAAGTCGCTCCTAGGATTCCTTTGGCATCACCCCTAGGGGTTAGAATTGCATCACACAACTCAAGAAGCTTATAATTGCTGAAATTTCTAAAATTTCTCTCTATCTTTTATTAAAAATATTACTAACTATATATAAAGTTCTAAGTACTTCTAATCCTAAAAGATTAGGCTTCCAAAGTCTCTAGGACTTCAAAACCTCTAGATCACTAAAAATTAGAAGATTAAAACAAACTAGAACTAGAAGTAGAACTCTAAATTCTAGCATATCCCATACTAGAGTTTGACCCAAAAGACTATGACACATTCTAGAAATTCTTGAAATTATAAAAATACCCCCGACTCTAAAAAATATAAAAAATCACATAAAATACGAATACTATCAAATTAACTCAAAACAACTAAAAATAAAACTCCATTTATGCTTATGGAAGTTCCCAACTAGGTTTCGCATCATCCAACCTTTGTCAAATTAAAGCTCGAGTCTTGTAAGCATCTTTTCCTCGACTTTTATCTACATTAGATTTAGATTTATCCTTATAATAATGAAAATTACTTACCCGGTTTGTATAATTAACTTAGAGATAATTATGATATTTAGTCTTTTTTATTTTGGACATATGATGCATGAAATATGTTAATTACTTTTTTTTTTATAATCTTTTGGGCCTTCTATCAAGCATTCTTGGAATCTTAGTCAATACTGTCTCGCAACGTCGCGGCCAATATGTATCAGTGTCCTTTGAGTTAATGGTTGATACCGCAACCTTGAATCGAGAGAGAGAGAGAGAAAGAGAGAGAGAGGGGGAGATTACAATTGGAATCTTGTCTGTTAAAGATGCCCATCAATATCTATCCAAAGCCTCCATGGTTCTCAATCGCGGTATTAGCCATCGACTCGGAGGGCGTTGACACATATCTGTAGCAGTGTTGCGGCACGATATTTGTTGATGTGATAAAAATGCTATATAGAAATTCCAAAAATTATGAAAAAATTGTGATTTTTTTTTTTGAAAATACAAATAATAACATCCATGCGTCATATGTCCAGAAAATATCATCTAACATTAAATATGGTGAAAACAAATTATAAGGACGCTATCA